GAGCACTATGAACACTAGGCTGGTCAATGTAATATTATGTTACTTTCTTCAAAGTATCAACTTTGGCATTGGAAATTGTAACACAATTGTGAGATAGATAGAACTGAAACGTGCTTTGATCAAACATTTCAAAACATTCTAGTCAGCTGTAAGGACTTGTATTATACAATTGGTAGGTACACGAGAGGTTTCGTATAACCAAGTTTATGTTACTCGATAAAGCAGTAGAGCACAACGAGAAAGCAAACACGTTCCACTATCTACAATGTTGTATTATCCGTAAGTGTATCGCTTAGTGTAAACACGATGCTTGTGTTGGACAGCTTACGTCACCTAAACTAACTGTTATATTACTATTGAGTTTATGTGCATAGTATTTATAAAAAACATAATTATAATTCAATATTTTTTTTAATATAACGTTTTCCAATAAAATAATTGCAATTATAAATTTGCGTATTAAATATTCCAGTGGGTAATAAACACCAGCAAGGTCAACGATTCCATATACAAGTTTTATTTATAGGAGAGGGGACAAACTAGCATACGATTCACCTAATTGTAAGTGACTACCGCCGCCCATGACCACTGCAGCACCAGGGGAATCGCAGGTGCGTTGCCGGCCTTTTAGAAAGAAGATCTGTATAGAAGGTCTCTAACTCGTATCGGTCCGGTAAAATCGCCGGTGGTAAGCTATTCCACACAGAGGTCGTACGCGGAAGAAAACTCCTAGTAAAACGTACAGTAGTTGACCGCCAAGCATCCAGATTGTGTGCGGAAATTTGCGCGTTAGTGAAATTTGGCAGCTGGGATTAATTAGTACAGTTCCTCAGAGCACCCCCAGTGGTTGATGCGAAAGAAAACGCAAAGGGTTGCAACATCTCTTTGCTGTGGCAGTAAATCAAGTCAATCGGAAAGGACTCGGTCGTTGAAGATTCGAGCCTCTCTGCGCTGGATGCGGTCAAGTAGAAGGATCTGCACTGGGGAGCTCCAGCCCAGATATTTTTTTATAGGATAGGGTGAAATACAGTCCACCTGATGGTAAGTATGACCCATAGACATCTACATCTATCTGCAATAAATAATCAAAATGCAGATGCGTTGTCACCCGTGAGGACTAAGATGGAATACCTCTTTTCCAGTAAAAACGGTCTCCGGTTCTCTACACTCACCATACGAAACACAACAGTGTTAATCTGCTATTTAACGCTGGTATTCTGTGAGAGTGTGGTCCTTGCCCGGGTCGGACCGAGCCATTCGAGCTACAACTATACTACTAATATAGCTGCAGCATGGCTCTACCACGTATATGTACGGAAACAGTATTCCATGTGAGGCCAAAACTGTGCCTTGAGTTGCAGGTGGCGCGCCGGCATGAAATACAGTCCCGCTCTGCTGAGCATGCCAAGCATTTTAAAGGCAATTTTGACCTTCCCTTTCAAGTGACCAATAAACTGCACGTCACTCGAAATGTCGACGCCGAGAAATCTGATACTGGCTCAGGCAACAAGAGTAGTGTCTTGAAACTGAGAAGATACGACAAAGGGTACTTTTAGCGGTAAACGCGCAAAAGTGTTTTTTCTGAGGATTTTTTTAACTAGATTTAGTCACTCAGAATCCGAGACTTTGTCCAGCAAAGATTCGACTTCAGACAAAAGTTAGTTCCGGTAGGTACTCAGCGAAATTTTGCCGAGAAATATTGGCACGGCCGGTGTATAGAGCATCACCATTGCTATCATCGGTATATCAATGAATGTTACCGGTTTGCAAAATATCATAGATATGCAGAAGAAACAGCGTTTGTTATAGCACGCTGCCTTATGGAACAGCAGCGTTAATAGGCTTGTAATCGGAGCATGCATGGTCTACTACGATCTTGATGCTCCGATCATCCAGAAAACTGGTGATTCAATTGCACAATTTCTGGGAAGTCCATTATGTGGTAGAGCCAAGCTGCAGCTATATTTATAGTATAGTTGTAGCACGAATGGGTCGGCTCGACCGGAGAAGGAGCACGCTCTCACGGAATACTAGCGTAAAATAGCTGCTTAATGCTACTGTGTTTCGTATGGTGAGTGTAGAGAAACAGAGACCCTTTTTAATGGAAAGGAGGCATTCCATCTTAGTCCTCATGGGTGACAACGCATCTGCATTTTGATTCGCAAGCGAGGAGAGATATAGATGTCTATGGGCCTCAGCAACCACTTACCATCAGGTGGGCTGTGTGATCGTTTGTCACCCTATTTCTATAAAAAAAGGAAGGACGTTTCGAAAGAAGCGCTCTGTGTCAAACCCGAAAGTCTCACCCTTGGACACATATGCCTGGCGCTTATCTGTTTGTTAGGTAAACAAGAAGATCACCAGCTGACCGCAACGGAAACAGTACTAGCGATCACTGATCAGCTGGTAATCCTCAATGTATCGTATAGACTAGCAGTTAATAATGGAATCATTTTTTTTTCAAGAACAAGGAGGATGGAAGGATGGCTATTGTCCGGTAGATGGATGGATGAGAGTGAACGCCCTACACTTCGTCCACTGGTACGAGGCCGCCACTCGCGAACCATTTTCCCCCATCGATTGTCGGTTCTTAGAGTTATATGGCCAGCCCATTGCCACTTCAGGTTATTACCCCGTTTGGCAATGTCGGTCACTCTGGTTCTACTGTGGATATCCTCATTTCTAAGTTTATCACGCAGAGAAACCCCGAGCATAGCCCTCTCCATAGCTCGCTGAGCGACCTTGAGCTTCCTCATACGGCCAGCAGTGAAGGACCACGTCTCAGATCCGTAAGTCATCACTGGCAACACGCACTGGTTGTACAATTTCGTTTTAAGGTTTTGAGGTATGTCTGACGAGAAGATGTGTCGTAGTTTCCCGAACACTGCCCAGCCGAGTTGAATCCGTCGATTGACCTCTCGGTCTAAGTTGGACTTTTTGTCCTAGTCGGACTATTTGTCCCAGATAAATATACTCGTCAACAACTTCGAGCTTAGTGCTCCCAACAACTACCGGCATAGGTGGACATGAACATTAAACATGATCTTTGTTTTATCCATGTTCATCTTAAGACCTATCCGTTGGGAAACACTATTGAGGTCATTGAGCATAGTGCTTAGGTCGAAGGTGAGTGATGTACTCGCCATTGATGTAAATACCGTATCCTTTCCAGTTCAAAAGCTTGAAAACGTCTTCCAATGCAGCGGTGAAGAGTTTCGGGGATATGACGTCACCCTGCCTTACACCTCTCTGCAATTGTATAGGTTTCGTACTCTGGTTCTGTATTCGGATAGCCATCGTAGCCCCACTGTACAAGCAATTCAGCACTTCGATATATCGGCAGTCAACTTGGCACTGCTGAAGGGACTGCAGCACCGTCCCGATTTCGACGGAATCAAAGGCTTTCTCATAGTCCACATACACCAGACATAGTGGCAAATTGTACCTCTTGGACTTCTGTACAATTTGCCAAAGGGTATGTGTGTGGTCTATGGTGCTAAAGCCTTTTCTGAAACCAGCTTATTCGGAAGGCTGGAAGTCGTCAAGTCTGCGCGAGAGACGATTCGTAATGACTCTCGAAAAGAGCACGTAGACGTGACTCAGAAAAGAAATCGGTATGTAGTTCTTCAAGAGAGCGTAGTCACCTTTCTTGAAGAACAAGGCCACCGAACTTCTGCTCCACACCTCCGGTGTAATGCCACCATGGAGGACGGAATTAAAGAGCTTCTGATGGACTTCAAGTACCGGTTTTCCAACCGATTTCAGAAGCTCTGCTGTAATTCCATCTTCGCCTGGGGCCTTGCCGTTGCCGTGGTGATACAGCTTTAGCTGTTATTATTTATGTGTATTTTTAGCGGCTGAAATAAATTTCACGTGATTTGAACAGCACCTGTTACATCCTGAATATTAAATAGCGATTTGTCATAGCATTACTTATAAACAATAAGTGCATTAAAAAAAAAACATTTTTAACTTAGGCATCTCTAAACAAAATCTAAAAATAGTAGTTTAATATAAAATGCACTAAAAGCCTGAGCAACTCTATTAAATGATTCTGAAAGTAAAGGCGCGACGGGCTGGAATGGTTGTTGGCTCCTGAAGCGATGCAAATTAGGTAAGTCAGCCGTGTGGCTCTCTTCAGATATCGCTGGTTCGCTTAAAAGTGAATGGGAATCGTTAAAGCAAATGCTTTGATCTGTAAACTAAAACACGTTTTTGGATATATTTCCTAAACATTCACAGTATTTAATTATTGCTTACTTTCTTCGAAAGGCTAAATATGTACATACATCCTTTGTTTATATTTAATCTGTTTCTTATTTCATTTACCCTAATTTATTAAACAATATTGCGCACCCATCCCACACACCATCTGTTCAATTGTGTGCTTTCTTCTCCATAAACAGGGTAACATAATTATTGCTGAAGCTGTAACCCGTTGTAAGTTTCTGGGAAACCTAAATTACTATGAAAAGCGAGCGCATATTTCTTTCATCGATGAAAAATTATTAAAGGAAACCAATTATTTCTAGACCGTTATTACTGGTTATAATTATTATTATTTGTATACTCAAACTCATAAATCTTATAACATACCTTATAAATAGAAAAACGGGGATAATCTTAATGGATATATTGTATACAGTTATAGATTTGTTTAAAGTTATAGAATCTGTTGAAACATACACAACAAAAGAAAAGTTATCAGCCATTGGAAAATTGGATTAAAATCAAAGTTAACCTAACTAGCGACCCGCACCGATTACGCACGGTGTAATTTACATGAGGTTTCATTTATATATAAAAAACACTATTTGATCAATATAGAGCTTGTTACTTGGATATTCATAATTCATTGATATGAAAAGTGCGCTTAGCAAGAAAATATTATATTTATTTTATAACGTTTGTTACAACACTTTATACCTTTATAACTTATATTACACGGCTTAGAAATTCAACATCATTGGATAATTTTAGCTGTAAATGTGTAATTTTTGTCAATAATACATATAACTATAATAACTGCCTGAAAGTGAGGTGCGAAAGGGCTCCATAAACTTGTCCATGAGAAAACACTCATCTCTCAGATCAAGCCCGCAACGTTGAGTATTTGACCTTGTGATTTGATCTCGTTCTATATAAAATAATTAAATATTAAAAATTGTATACAAGCGACTTCAATTTATATTATTAAAGTTATATCAAAAACTGCTGGTCAGACCTCGATTTAATTTATATAGCCAGCTTTCAAATTAAAACAGAATCATCGAAATCGGTTCACTCAGAAAAAATTTGTGTGGTAACACAAACAAAAAAAGAACATACAGTCGAATTGAGTACCTCCTCCTTTTTGAAGTCGGCAGAAAACCAATTAGTCAAAGTATAAGCTTATATTAATGATTTTGGGATAAATATTGTCAACCAATTTTTGAAGGTCATTAACGAAGGTTTACAATGTCAAAATTAATTGCCGGCCAACCGTTTCGCTGCGATATGTTTGGTTCCAAATCTGTGATATAATATCCCCAAGCATTCGTTTAAATATTATCATGTTAAAGATAATTTTAAGCAACATTAAACGCATAAGGTAATTAACGTATTTATCTGGATAATTATCAACATTGAATCAAATAAAAATATATATTTTGAAGAACTTCTTTAGAAGATTATTTTTGTATCCCTTAAGGGTAGGCTAACGTTAGTCATCTTATCACGGACAATCAATTTTTTGACGAAATCTTAATTAAAATTGATTAATTTACAAATCAAATACATGATAGACAGTTAAAGCTGCATCAAAACTCATTGAATGGAATTAAATAATAATATATTTTTACGTGGTAGTGCCATGCTGCAGCTATATTAGTAGTATAGTTGTAGCACGAATGGGTCGGCTCGACCGGGGAAGAACCACGCTCTCACAGAAAGCCAGCGTAAAATAGCAGCTTAACGCTGCTGTGTTTCGTATGGTGAGTGTAGAGAACTGGAGACCCTTTTACTGGAAACGAGGCATTCCGTCTTAGTCCTCACGGGTGACAACGCATCTGCATCTTGAGTCTTTATTGGGGATGTAGATGTCTATGGGTCACAGTAACCACTTACCATCAGGTGGACTATGTGCTCGTTTGTCACCCTATCCTATAAAAAAAATATAGTCTCTAAAATGTAAAAGCATTGTTATAAGACGCATAATTGGGACTCTTTTTTTATAGGATAAGGGTGACAAGCGAGCACACAGCCCGTCTGATTGTAAGTGGTTTCTGTGGCCCATGGACATCTGCATCTATCCTCGTTTGCGAATCGAAATTCAGATGCATTGTCAGCCGTGAGGACTATGTTGGAATGCCTTTTTTCCAGTAACAAGAGTTTCCGGTTCTCTACTCTCACCATTCGAAACACAGGAACATTACGCTGCTATTTTACGTTGGTTTTATGTGAGAGCGTGGTCCTTCTCCGGCAGAACCGACCCATTCGTGCTACAGCTATAGAAATAATATAGCTGCAGCATGGCTACCACGTAAAACGTCTCTAAAAAGAATAAGGCTGTGTATAGAGGCAGCGATAAATAATATTAAACTTATTTTTCATTAGATTAAGGAGAAAATAAAAGTCTTCCATTCCATAATCAAACTTAGCCAATAATTGCGAACTTCACAAGATTATCACTTTGCATTTGCATATTTCACACGTTTCAATTTTTTTCAACGTTCAAATTCAAATAACCATGTGCGTATTAAATAGGACTTGCATTACTACGCTATGATATATTTTCGCACTTTATCATTTGTTATATTTCGCTACAAACTTTTGACACTAACTTGTTCCTCTTGATATCTGCCAAAGTGTCTGCGAATAACAAAAGTTATTCATTGTACTGCTAACAAAAATTACGCAATTTAATATCAGGCAATCTATCAAACTGTTGTGTGAATGGTAAAGAACTTTTAGGAGATATAAGGTATAAGAGTAGGTAATATCTACTACAATTTTGTTACTTTTGAAACTTTATAAAATATTACTTTAGTGACTTTTATATATTAATAATAATAAGTAAAATTCTCGTCCAAAGTTTTATCGAAGAAATACAAGCTTGTGCTTGTATTTTGTGTGTAGAGATTCTCGATTCGGTTGAATGTTTTTGTATGTATGTAACACAATATCTTGTTCGATTATAAATCTATTTCAATGATTTTTTTCGTAATATAGACTAGACTATACCTATTCTTTTGATTGGTTGGTCTGGTTGGTTCTATTAAAATTTGCAGAAAAAATAGGAAAAAAGAGGGGATAAAATACGTAACCGTTTAGACAAATTTCTAGTTTTTTCTTGAGCTTGTTATATAAAAACTAAAAACTGACTTCAACGAACTAAAACAATAAAATTATTTCCTCCTGGAGTCGATGGTTCGATGGTATGGACTAAATATTACAAGACTAATTTCTAGATTTTTTTTTAATCTGTGTTTATTTTATAATATTTATTTGATTTTACTAAAGCAAAGCCTCAGATAAGTGTCGTCTGAATTAGTTCATGAACGGCATCAGCTGTTGATTTACCAGAACGAAAACCAAATTAATTTGGTAAAAATTTAGAATGTTTGTCAAGAAGAATTTTTAATCTATTATCACGCTTTCTAGTATTTTCGATAATGACGGTAATATAGATAATGGTCTATAGTTGCGCTTATACAGTCTCAGTCACCATTATTGTAAACAGGATAAATGAGGGATTTTGAAAAGCTGTCGGGAATATGCCATAAGTGAGAGCCAGGTTATATACGTGGGTAAGTGGAGACACAATATTTTTTTTATTTTGTTTTAGGAAACCACTATTTTATCCCAGCCAACGGCATAGTCACTTCTAAGTATATTTATTAGGGATGCGATTTCAGCTTCATCATTAGGCGAAAGAACTAGACTAGACTAAGCTATAATTCATTGTGGAAATATTCAAATCAGAGTTCTCAAGAAGGTTTTCGTCCAGTTGTGTACCAATATTAGCGAAATACGTGTTAGCTTTGTTAACCGACTATTTTGGTGTAGTATATACATGCTGATAATAGTTGAGCGGAAGATAAATTAACGGCGTTTCTGTTGGTTATCCTATTTATTACCTCCCAAAGCTTTCTATTATTTGCACCTGAATTTCTTATATCATATTCATTCTTGACCGCTTTTAGAAGATTGTTGCGATAAATTCTATATCGCCTAAACAATAATTTAAGTACTTCATTTTCAGGCTCTTTTTTTTATTTTTTATTTTTTGTCTAAATTATACATACGCTGCATACAACGCAAGAGTCCTGGAGTAATCCACAGCTTTATGGTCTTTTTACGACTAGATAAAACAATCTTCTGAGTATTAGCATCTAAAACTTTTAGTAAGGACTGGACAAGACAATTAGCGGCAATATTTGGATTTTGTGTGGAGTAAACTGAATCAAAATTCATTTTAGCAAGATCAGTTGTAATTCCATTATGATTTGTACGAAATATTGTCATCAATGTCTTCTTTTTCTCTTTTGAGACCTTGTTTACGAGAAAAAATGCTACAGTCTCAAATAGTATAAAAGTCCAATGTTGAACATAGGCCTCCACCATAGATTGCCTTATAGAAATTTTGTCATACTTGGCACGCTTGGCAATTGGGTTGACAACTGCAGATCCTTATTATTTTGAATAATTATCAGGAAGATGCTGTTGCCCATCATCATTATCATCTTTCCTGTTTCAGTTGTCCTCTATAGGCTCTTACGAGATCCGCGGGACGATTTCGGGTAGTGAATATGTCTAAGACATGTAATAGTCTTGTAATTTTAATAACACTTATAATGTCAATAAATAATGACTTGGGTGATTTTTCGATAAATTTCTCGTAGTTTTCATGACCTCCTCCATTGTATTTAATTAACGAAATTCCCAAAACAAATTAAATACTAATATGAAACGCAGAAAAGATTTTAAAAACCTTTTTTATATTTTTAATTTCACATTATTCGGTAAAATAACGTTCACTATTTACACAATTATACAAAAAAGAACTTACGCAGTTTTTGAAATCATACATTGTCAAAAAGGTTCTCTAATATTATAAAAATATATATAAAAAATATCAGTGGTCGGTTTCAATTTACCAAACACTGATATATTTTTGCGATATCCCGGCGACGCAAGGCAAATCAATTGTAATGACTATGTTCCTAAGTACTTGAGGCATGTTAGGCATCCAGAATAGCCTGGCATGATTTCTGACTCCTTCGTCTCTACCATTCACTCTTTAAACTGTGAAACCTTGCACCGCGCCGGCCCGGCGCCCTGTACAATTTATCTTCTTATCTTTTTAGTGTCACATTTACTTCAATCTTCTGGATTTTGTAAATTATGTACTTAGGTATTTTACATTCTTTTGTCGTTTCATATTAGTATTCTAGTTAGTACGTCTTTATACTTAAATTTTGTCAGCTAAATAATAAATCCGGCCCATTTAAACACTACGAATAAAAACGACAGCTTATACCAACGATATTTTAGTTGGTTTATTTATTTTTAATTTGACGCCCTAAAACAATCTTCGCTCCAAATTTTTACAAGCACTAAATATTTTTTAAGGACTGTTTTATCATTTGATGTAAGTTTGAGTAAAAGCTGAAGTCGAAAGCTTTTAATTATTTTTAAATGTCTTTCTCTGTGCCTTTTTCTTCCTGTCGTCGTTAGGTACTATAAAAAGATAATTATTACTCGTACTCTAGCCTTTATACGATTAAAATAATCAAAATTTATATAAGACATCACATTTCCTTTTTAGAACTTAGATAAAAAATACAAATGCAAATTCAGGCAAAGGGATATTACTAAATACAAATATCGAGTTTGAATTGGAATGAGTTACAAAATATTTACTCATCCGAATGATAGCATATTAAGCCTGCCTGTATGGAATGAGAACATTTATACCTGTAATTTCATTGAAATTAACGATATAACATTCCGAAATACTTACTTTCATAAATATCTGTTTCAAACAAATATTATTTAATTTATTTATTTTACATCGTAATAAATATATCGCCTTTTTAACTAAATTTCCATCTATCCGTCCATGACAGCCTACTCGTATATATCGTATAAAGTCCACTGCTGAACAAAGACCTCCCTCAATGATTTCCCAATAGGGGAGGGGTCCATAGTTACCATTCTTGCCAAGTGTTATCAGGAAGATACTGATGTTGCCTCTTAGGACACCCACGAGAAGATATAGTAGTGGATATTCTTACACCGGTTACAATATATAGAATGTTTATTTTCTCATTTTTAAAGTGTATATTATTTAAAATAACCTCTTATATATTCTTGGTTATTGATTTTCATTTTCAGTCTTCTTTTCCAAATGAAACTGTAAAAAAATAATATTAGATATTATTATTTCTGTATTCGGGTGGTACATTAACGGAACTATATCCGTTTAAGCCACATAAAGTCACCGATATCATCCAATATGCCACAATCACATAATAAAATAAAACATTTTATTATGTGATTGTGGCGTTGAGGTACGTAACACCTATTTATCAAAAATCTCCAATCCATTTATCAAAATTTAGACGTGGTAGAGCTACGCTGCAGCTATCTTATGGTTGTAGGATGAATGGGTCGGCTCGACCGGGGTGGGAACACGCTTTCACAGAATACATGCGTTAAATAACACCTTAATTCTGCACCTTAGTGTTTCGTATAATGAGTGTAGAGAACCGGAAACCCTTTTTACTGGAAACGAGACATTCCATCTTAGTCCTCAAGGGTGACAACGCGTCTGCATTTTGATTTTTAGTTGTGAAATAATGTAGATGTCTATGGACAACAGTATCCACTTACCTTCAAGTGGACTATGTGCTCGTTTGTGACACTTAATATATTTTTTTTAATCTTTACTTACCCCATTATTGAGATTATCAATGACTTTGTTGAAATTATTCTTTACCTGATCTGCATTCAAAGTGTCGGATACTTTTCTACCAATTATCTTCAAAATATCCTGTATTTGCTTTTGTATGTTCTAATAAGATATTTCATTATTTAGAAGTTCCACGTCGCGTTGTATATAAGTGGGAACCTGGAAAATTGTGAATAAAAATTGAATTTTTACAAAGTAGGAATATTATATTCAAAGAGGGAAAGTTGTAAAACATTCTCTTAGTTTTTAGTCTGACTAAAGGATAAGACTAAAGGTACACTAGGTAAATCTTACTTTGCGACATACGACAAATGGAAAAATAAGCATCACGATTACCGCGGACAATATATATAACCAACTAAAAACGAGAAGCAGCAGCGTCAAAGGTGTTATATGTCTAGTACCAAGATTCCCAATCTGCTCGTCGAACCGCCAATTCTCTTGACCGGTGGAATGACAATGAAGTTAGAAGAAATGGCTTACCAACGTTGTCAATTGTGGCGATATTTCCAATCCTTTGAAGAATCGATGAGCGCCGACGATATAGTCCTTATGGCAGAATCGCTGGAGGACCTAAGCACTATGCTCAATGACCTCAATAGTGCTTCCCAATGGATAGGTCTCAAGATGAACATGGACAAAACAAAGATCATGTTTAATGTCCATATCACACCACCTAGTTGTTGGGAGCACTAAGCTCGAAGTTGTTGACGAGTATATTTACCTGGAAAAAAAAAAACAATACAAACGAAAAAAGTCCGACTAGGTAAGTGCAACTTCGACCGAGAGGTCAATCGACGGATTCAACTCGGTTGGGCAGCGTTCGAGAAATTACGGCACATCTTCTCATCAGGTATACCTCAAAACTTGAAAACGAGACTGTACAACCAATGCGTGTTGCCAGTGATGACATACGGAACTGAGACGTGGTCCTTCACTGCTGGCCGGATGAGGAAGCTCAAGGTTGCTCAGCGAGCTATGGAGAGGGCTATGCTCGGAGTTTCTCTGCGTGATAAACCCAGAAATGAGGATATCAAAACTTTTTAATAGTCAATCACAAATATGAAAGTGAAGAACGAACATCAATCGCTGCTTTAAATACTTTAAGTTTTTTTTGATGTCATACATTTGTATGTGTGTTGTTATTATAATTAATTATTGTAAACATCATTAATTGATTTGTTCCTAAGTTATCGTTTCCATTATGAGTTACCAATTATTAACATCGATAATAAAGACATTAAGCACAACTTTTCTTTCTTTAACTTTGCATTTACAATCATACGTACATACATAAAAATAAAATTGAATTATCTTTCTTAATTAGTATCGAAATAACTGCCTTTTATTGACCCTCAAGACATGACAACTATTCTTAAAATATTTGTCTCTTTATGATAGGCTCATCGCCTATGCAATAAGTTAACTACACGCAGTATTACTTCAGCTTAGAAGACTCCTTTCATTAAAATTACAAAACGTCGTAAACACAGAGTATGCACACTTTCACTAGTCAATTTTGCATTTCTAAAAAGTTTTTTTATTATTACCTAGGTCCTTTACTTTATAACAAAATGAATGCAAAAATAGAGATTTATGAAATGTCAACATTTAATTGTAAAACTGCTGTCCGCTCTTTCCTGCTAAATAAGTCATATAATGATACGGAGTAGTATTTTTTTTATAGAAGAGGGGGCAAACAAACACAGGGGGCAACAAACGGCTCACCTGATGGTAAGTGACTACCGCCGCCCATGAACAACCGCAACACCAGGGGAATTGCAGATGCGTTGCCGGCCTTTTAGAAAGGTGTAAGCTCTTTTCTTTAAGGTTCCTAAGTCGTATTGGTCCGGAAAATTCGCTGGTGGTAATTGATTCCACAAGGAAGTTGTGCGAGAGAGAAAACTTCTTCTGAATTAATAGTAAATTAGTATTAATAATAAAATAGTGATTGTTAACATTTTTTGAAAAATATTACGTCGCATTGTCACGTATTTATTTTATAAAATTTATTTTATAAAAGCACGAACACACACGCACGCACTCGCGCACGCGCGCACGTGCGCGTGCACACACACACACACACACACACACACACACACACACACGAACACACACACACCAAAAGGATAGGACTGTATCTCCTAAATACAGGTTACTAAGTAACCCACCTAGGAGACTCAGGATTCTACCCATTGCAAATTGGTCCTCATGATGTATTGTATATATTTGTAAAAAGTATGTAAACTATAAAAAATGTCAATAAAGAATTATAATAATTATAATTATAATAAGTTCCTTTTTACGACATGCTAGAAAGACATTTGGCACATTAAGTCCTACACAAACATGGGACCTATTGATCCTTCCTTTCTGGACCAACTTGGGACAATGTACGCAGGAAAAGATATTGTGGAAATTAAGATATGAGGAATATACGCCTCAATTTTATTATCGTTAAAAGGTAACAATAATATAAAACTGAAATATTATTAATTTATATAATAAATAGTTTAATGCTATATCACTGTATGGGGAACTATAATATATCTCGATGACTTAGTACTTGACAAAATATACGTCCCTTTAGCATTTCCTGTAGTGGAGGTGTAAGAATATTCACTGTCCCATATCATCCCGTGGGTGTCAAGCGACAGAGGGAAACAAATTAGGAGATGGGCAGCAACATCTTCCTAATAACTACTTAAAAAAAAATTGCGTTTGCCAACCCGCTTGCCAAGCGAGACAACTATAGAAAAAAGTATCCCTATGAGGCAATCTTTGTGGAAAGCCTATATTTATTAGTGGAATTTAATAGGCTTAACGGTAACGGTAGCATTCCCTTGAATATCTTACATAAATAGCATGAATAGTTCGAAAAACAAACTACTACTAACTTGAGCAGCTTTTTAAATAATAAAGCACGAGCGCTTAATTACATTATTCTAAATTTTGTGATTTAAAATCTCAAGCCTGTTACCTGGAGGGGTAGACAGAGACTACGGACTTCCATATAACACGATCCTGAAACACCTCTCTCGTTTCTTTCACACACATATACTTACGCATACACGCTCGTCGATGAAGGGTACATTTAATTTAGCCCATTCATCATCCATCCATTACAGCCTATAAAAGTCCACTGCTGAACATAGACCTGTCTCAAACATTGTCTAATGGGTCCCCCCCTCCCCCATTTAGGATTTTTCCATAGTCGCCACGCTTGGCAAGCGGGTTGGCAACCGCAGTTTTTGAAGTGAAAACTTCTTTAGCATCGTTCTAATTTTTTTTGAAAACGTTACCTCCACACTTGGATTTTCTCCTGTATCGTGGGGACAGTTTACATACATACATTTCCCAAAGAGAAACATCCATACCCGGAACAATTATTTGTAGGCCATCTAAATACTTGTTCCGCGCGGGATCCGAACCCGCGGTCCTTGGTGCTGCAACTTATTGCTAAGCCACTGCGCCACGGAGCCGTATTAGTAATTTAAAGTAGTTAATTAGTAATTTAAAACTCAATGAAATGAAAAAGCGACACTAAAAGGATCTATAGGAGCTAATGAGATAGAATATATACTAATATAATAAAGCGGAAGAGGTGTTTTCTTTGTTTAAATACGCTAATCTCTGGAAGTACTAGTCAGATTTGATAAATTGTTGCATGCCGTAGGCGCTCTAAGCGCGTCGGTATGTTCTACTAGGGCCTAAATATTAAGATTCCAACGATTTGTCGCATGAAATCGTATCTAGCGATCATATTGTACATATAAATGATATAAAAAGCACATTGTCAGAAAGATAAATGATTGTTGAACTTATTAATATTTTTTTAATCGATTAATTGCTATTTTAAAATAAAAAAGGGATTTTAGTGGCTTATGGTGTGGATTTATCAAGTCTGCAAGGCTTATAAACACGATAACTTTTGAAAATATCAATTGTTCAACTCAATATATTTTTAAAACTCTTCATCTATCATGTGGGACGCCATGGAATGAAAATGGATGTTTAATTTAGTTTAGTTTTTTTTTTGTATTTGATAGTGAGAATCACGAGGAATAGTTATAAACTATTTAGCATTAGGCTACACATCTGAGCTAGCCTTTATTAGCCGTTATTTTTGAGCTAGTTTCTGTATAAAGTATTTCCTATTATCTCGGTTTTGCTTTAAACATGCTTTATATAACTTTTAACTGTTAAAATAAAAAATAAATTATTATCAAATAAATAACAGTCCACGATTTCATATCTTACCGATTTATATGAAATTAATCGAGTTTAGGCCTTCTAATCTCTATATTATAGAACACCTTGAAAGTCAATAAATGTTTGTTCTATAAAGTTATTTTACCTATAGAATGAAGTAGACATCGCTATTACGCAATTTTAGTCGAAACAAAATATTATTTTGGTTTAATAGACTATAATTTAAAATTAAAAATTTTGTACAACCGACTTCAATATAAATTATTAAGAATAACTCAAAAACTATTAGTCAGACCTTGATTGAATTAGAGGAACTCATGTGAAGCACCAGCTTTCAAATAAAAAAAGAATCATCGAAATCGGTTCCTCCAGTAATAAGTTATGAGGTAACACACATTAAAAAAAAACATACAATCGAATTGAATACCGGCTCCTTTTTGAAGTCGGTAGAAAATGTAGGCTCTACGTGTCTAAAAATAAGGATTTTAACATTTATTTGCTATAAAATTAAATTTTTATACCGCACATGTGGTAGAAAATTATCCAAATAAATAAATCATTTGCTTTAAAATGTTTTTGTTTTATATTTCGTTTTATTTGAAGATTTACTTCTAACTGCAAACATTTTTTATCATATTATGTTGTTATCCAGAAGATGCTGTGCATCTTCTGTTTCATATTCCCTCTGTCGCCTCTTACGACACCCACAGGACGATATGGGGTAGTGAATATTATTCCACCGCCACTACACTCTTTTGGTCTATCTTTATTATATCGCCAATAAGGTGGATAAACTTCCGTCCAGGGCGTCCCTTGTTGACTTTGCAATTCACTTCTGCAACATTAATTAACATTGATACTCTTTCCTTATTCATTCTTTCTATGTGTCTAAAACTTTCTTAACCTTAGTGAATTAATGTTCTTTATGCCGGATTTCGGCTGCAGTGACCAATCTCAACGGAAACTAGTAGTCTAACAATCTACGTACAATAGGATTATATTGCAGAAGTACGCAAGCATAGTGCGCTCTAAATTCACTCACTCTCATAGTCCGATAGAACGGTAATCCGATGTGACCAGAGAAATAAGATTTTTCACGGCTTTTCTTGCTTTCCAAGGCACAGTGAAACAACGTCAACTTCCTCACACTGGAATGCTACTCACAATTTCTTGACACATAAATCTAATAACAGATTTTAGCCCGAACCGGTTTCGAATCCAGAATCACATTTTCCGCATTATGAATGCCTCGTGGGTCTAGGGTGCAATTATTGTATGCAATTTTTTTATAAATGATACTAAACTATACGGATTTTATCGTATATATAAACTTATTTTACATTCCCGATGTTAAGAGTACTTTACAGCACTCATGATCACTGGGGGACTGAGGTGTTTGACGTCCCAATGTCACAGTTATCCACGGCTATCTTCGGTTTAAAACTATTAATTTTTGGTCCGATTTTCTAAATATACGCGATAAAATCCGTTAAGCTTGGTTTCATTATATCTGTAGTGTTTGCGTAAATATAAGAAGCCATCAACATTTTATTTATTAAATCAGATTAATATTTTTTTCAATATTTCATTAATTTCAGTTCATTTGAATAATTTTTTATCAAAATATCTTAGTTTGAAACTATGTCTATCTATTTAAATTATTTATCCAATCCCAATCTGAAAAAATATAAAATAATGTCGCGTCTGGCAAATCTACAAGCCATATTATTATATAACAATAAAAGAGACTATTATTATTTCTTAACCTTTTATTAGTTGATAATAAAACTGAAAGAAAACAATTAATATTTTTTAATTACCATTATTATTCAGGCGGAGTCTTGGGTACCGTTAAAACTTCAAACTGCAAAAACAAAAAAAAATGTCTCGTATAACGTTTAGAACTAATTAATTTGTTACATCTATTAAAAGTCTATATTCAGTGAGCTGTGATTGATCAAAAAATAAGTCCTTCGCCTTAAAATTTCATAGGGAGCGAGAATGTTGGGTTCGACCCCACTAGCACTAATGGAGTAGTTATTCGCAGTTTTAAGTGCTGATTTGTTACGTGCTTGGCGATGAAGGAAAACCTGCGCGAAACACTGCGAGGAAACCTGCATGTGTTACAAATTAGAAATATTTCGAGGATATGTGCAGATAACCAACACGCATTGGGACAACTCCAAATAGAAATATTGCTCTAGAACCTTCCCAGAAAGGATTGAGCAATAAGACGTGTTTGGACTTACTTGATTTATAATAAAAAAAAGGTTCTCGAGTGGCAGCCTCGTACCGGTAGAAGAAGTGTAGGGCGGCCCCCACTAGATGGAGTGACGACCTAGTAAGACATGCAGGAAGTCGATGGATGCAAATGGCTCAGGACCGTGCTTTGTGGCATTCTTTGGGGAAGGCCTATGTTCAGCAGTGGACTTGTGAAGGGCTGTAATGATGATGATGATAATGATTTATAATAAAATATATGGAATATATCATTTTTAACACGAAGTAAATTTTACCTTTATTGTTTATCATTCCGTAACATTCCACTGTCGGAAATAGGTTAGGACCACTGTAAAACAGATTTGCTGTAATCGCCACGCTTAGTACACGGATTAGCGAACGCACTAAGAGATGTCTCGCATTTTTTTATAGTGTAAGGATGACAAACAAAAGTAAATTTAAAATCATGTTTATCTTTCTTTTAAGCGGAAAACGATAACTATTAATACAACATTTTAAATCTCATTTTAATCTACGTATACGGAGCGGATAATGGGTTAATCTACACATTATACAGTATAATGTGCATAATAAAGCTGCATATGAGAATAATAACTTAAATAATAATTTCATAGGCCATTATGTGCACACACCGCTTTAGAAATCCTATTGAGTTGATCCCCAACTACAGCTAAGACTGGCTCCAATTGCTTCTCGTTGACCTCACTTACTGCTTTAGCCAAACTTTGATCAATGCAGTTCCTAAACTGATCAATATTCCGTTGGAATGATTCCAGTATTTTGGGCTGTGAGGTTGTCGTCGATACATCTCTTCGAACAAATGCATCGACCTATTTAAGAGAAAAAGAAAAACAAATATTAATTAAACACAATTTAAATAAAATATTTTATACACCTAAGGCGTCCTTATGAATCTTTTCAATCACTTTCCTCACCGTTTTTTTTCCTCAAAGATAATATTCACGAGGATTACTCCTGCGTCGTGGAGGCATTTTATATACATACACAAGTGAACATGAGGAAACATCAAGACCTGGAACACTTAGTGATAGGTCATACAAATAGTTACGAGCGGGATTCGAACCCACGATCCGTTGCGCCGCAGCCCAATGTATAGGTACTAACCCTACCGATTCATCAAAGTTAATAAGCCGTGGTAACTAGATAAGCGCTCGCCCTCAATTTTCGTAGTGCCTCGCAAATTTAAAGATAATGTCAAAATATTTTCACGTTCTCATTTTTATAAAAAAAGTTATTTGTTTTTATTGACTTCGGTCTACAATTATTTTTTTTATTCAATATTACTGGGTTAAGAAGAAAACACAGCAAGCATTATTGTAGGTACTCATATATTTTGTATTATTTACTAAAAATGTTGTATTTATTAATCGTTTTAATCCAAAACTGTATTACACAAATGGTAAAATAAAAATAAAAATGTACAACCGATTTCAATATAAGTTATTAAAGATAACTCAAAAACCACCTGGGAAGTATACCCTTAGAAACAAAAAAAAAAGGATTTTCCAGTTCAGGCGTCTTCGATTAATCGATGAACATACATAAAAAAAAGATTCCGACGCATTGGGAACCCCTTCCTTTTTGATGTCGGTTAAAAAGAAAAAACGGCTAATATTTTAGATTTTTTTTCAATTGCCCCTTCGAATTTTTCAAATTTTTTTTAACTTACAAAATACTTAAAGTATTCTCATATAAATTTCAAAGTAACCCCATCACAGCCTATAAAAGACCAATGGAGAGATTTAGTTATGGTTGCCACAGTTGGCAGACGAATTGGTCACGTTAGTATTATTATTTTAAATAACCAGGAAGGTACCTGTGCACATCTCCTGTTTCAGTTTACCTCTGTTACCTTTAAAGACGCCCACGGGACAATGTACCGTAATAGATATTCTTACACGTCCACTACACGGTAACAACAAAAAAAAATATTTACATTTTTTTTATTTGCTATCGAAGTAATTAATTACAAAATTCAATGAATTGTTCTTTTAAAAACAAAAAGAAATATAATTCAAAATTAAAAATTTTGTACAAACGACTTCAAAATATATTATTAAGAATAACTCAAATACTATTGGTCAGACCTTGACCAAATGTATAAGGGACCACATGAAAAGCACCAGCTTTCGAACAAAAAAATAATCATCGAAATCGGTTCACGTAGTACAAAGTCAACACAGTCGAATTGAGTACCTCCTCCTTTTTTAAAGTCAGTAGAAAATATTAGGACACTTACGTTATTAGCCACAAGTAAAACACCTATGATTACAATTGATAACAACATTCTTAACATTCAGTACTACAACAAAATATAATCTTACACTGTTACCGCACTAAAGCTACAACTATTTATGTACTACGCTTTTGATGAATCCTTAATATACTCGTACAATGCAAATACGACCAAACGTTAGACACGTAAATGGAAAACAATTTGTAATAACTTCTATAAAAATGATTTATGTGGCATTTGCGTCACTAGGGAAGGCGTTATTTGAATCGAAAATTCTAGAGATTACTAAGTAAAAAAATAATAAAACGTTTCCGTAATTTAAATAAGGCTCAGATTTTTTTAACCATATTCGACAAAGGATGCTTAAATATTTCCGCTCGAAGTACCTTTTTCAAACAAATGTCACCCACAGGATTGCATGAAGTAGCATGCCTGTTTCAAAGGAAGGAGGAAAATCCGGTAACTGTAATAAAGGAAATAAGCGCTTTTCATTTATAATCATTTTAAATATATAACGTAAAATATATTGAAAACAATTTTAATATTAACCTCTCAAAAACTAGAATAGAGACATGTGCCCAGCTATGGTATAAATACAGTCTGCACGAAGAAAGGTGTACCTTTTAATTATGTAAAATTACTAAAGCAACCTTAGTAAAAATAACAAGATTAATTTTGTCAATAAATGTTGTTTGTTAGTTAATAGTCTTTTCGCTAATATGAAATGAAAATGAGCCATGAACTATAAATCAAGACAACTTCGTCTTAACGATTTGATAAATAATGTTGCCAGTAATTGAAAGAAATTATATGTTGCCAGTAATGAAATATGAAAAAATTGACATATCACAACGAATAAGACAGCTGCAGTGACAGTGGGCTGATTTTATAGCTCGAAGAACTGACAACCGATGGTGAGGTATGATGCTAGGGTGACAGCTCCTTACTGGTAGATGGAGTTTAGTAAGACTACCAGAATATTTATGGATGCAGATTGGTCAGAACTAAAGAATTTACGAGGACATAATAAATTCGTCCGTACGTTCAAAATAAATTGTAGATGTGTATTTGACTTCTATATATATATATATATTTTTTTTTTCTTCTTTATCAGCCCCTATAAGTCCACAGATGTACATGGATATATTCCCATGGTAAGGAGGTTTTCCAATATTCATCACATTTTAGTCGATTTCATTGTTTTTAGAATCGCACTGCCAGAATCACTAGTCTTCTACCTTAGATATTTTAGCCTTACATTCAAAAAATAGCCACGGTTGTTACGAAATCTCATTATAAAACGAGCTTAAAGATAAATTTCTAATTTCTAATATAAATTTAACACATAATATTATAATTACAGTAATAATAAAAATATAATATAAATTTAAATAACATATATAAAGAGCCTACTCTATTTTAAAAGGCCGGCAACACATCTGCAATTTCCCTGGTATTGTAGATGTTCGTGGGCGGCGGTAGTCACTTACCATCAGGTGATCCGCATGCTTATTTACCCACCATCCTATAAAAAAAAGTTTTGCGCTTCTATTCATTAATTTATCGCTGTTATACAGCAACTAAAGAAGTGATGTCGTTAAATAATTTTGAGGCATTGGTGAGACCAGAAAGCGACCTTCACTAGGCTTCATACATCTAGGTCTTCTTGTTCTAGTCCACTTAGGTTGGATCCTATTTCTGAAACCATTGGACACCCCGTTGGACAGTTGACATAGGTCCCCCATTACAACACCCCTTTGCCCGTACTATTAAAAACACTACGTTTGATTTTTTGACACACATAGATAATTATAATACATAATACGATATATTTTACCAATGTTAACCTTATATTTCAAAGCTACACCTAAAAGAAAATAAGTCTATCTGGTAAATTTAGATGAATTAAAAAATATAACCATTTAATATAACAGCTCTACATAAGTAGATAATGTTGAAATATCAAAATGTTATGGTAATTAATATAATATAATATGATACGTATATTGTGATTGCGTCATAAACATAATATTTCGATTATACACATACATTAATGTGAAATATAGCATAGTAGATTAATAACACGGCACGTAACAAAATTAATCCGAGAAGAGTGCTCCCACATATATTATATTAACGTTATTAACAAAATCCCATGAGATTTTAGCTTGTTTTTGTTGCCTACTCCTTATTATTTATGTTTGTTTACAGAAACTGCATAATATGCAATTGTTTGGAATTATGGAAGTTAATTTCTACATTTATGTAAATGAAATAAAGTTATACAAATACTCACTCTTTTTTCTGGAAGAATTAGTCCGCATAGCTCACCACCCTCTGGACATCAAAATGATGGGAGCCTGAACAATTTTCTTATCGACGAAGAAAGTATGTTCCGAAGTAGGCAATGGTTGTCACGCATATTTTCTAGCATTCCTATCCTCTAAGCATTCAACCCAATGATCTGCATCAGCATCAAACCTGATGATGACATTATAGATCGCTACACAGTTGAAAATTCCATTTACACCATTTTGACGGTTGACAACCCACCACTGTATAATTTTCTAATAATCTTCTGACGTACACGACCACTTTGTATATTCTTCAGTAGTTAGCGGTGTTCTCGGAAAACTTTTATTTCTATATGAAAGAAAATGCTTGCTTGTGGATATTCATGACAACCAGCAGGTGTGTCAGTTATCCGTCTGTCGTCTCTTCTGTTAAAATATGACAATTATTCAACTATTCTCTCACTTGATGATAAGTCGTTATGTAGCCGAAAAAGATAATCCACCATAGCTTAGCACGACAAAGCCAATCTACTCTTGCCTTGAAGAGAACCACGTTGTAATAGGAAGGAAAAACAGGCTCTACATATTTCATACTACGAAGTAAACTGATCAATTTTATAAAACATTGCGCTTGATTTAATGACAAACATAGATACAATACATGATATTATATATTTTATAAAAGGTAACCTTCATTTTAATTCAAAATTAATTTGTAATTTTTTCACTCATTTGCTGTACTTGGTAATAGTAATAATAGTAAACTTCGTAATAGTTTACGAATTACAAAGTAAACTGTTGGGTTCTAATTTGCAGTATGGTAACAATAAGAGAGTGGAGACTCGCTAACCGTCTGGTTGTCCAACGGGTGAAGGGAGCGGAAGGTATTAAGTAATGTAATTCCTACGCACACTTCAACACTTACTCTATAGAAAATCCAAAAAGATGGCTAGTTTGTGCCTATGCTCGAGGCTGGAAGATAAGCTTTAACCAACTCGAGTTTACTAAGACACTATTTACATTCATTTATTCTTTTAGTTTCCATTAATACTTATAAGAATTTATCATTACCCTGAGAAGTACAAGCTAAAGAGCTAAATTAAATAATTTTAGGTTACTGTACGTCGCTATTAAAAGTTTTGTTTGAATTTCGAAGAACAATTTTCATTAGACGCTTCATAACTACCAATTTAAACAATTTCTTGTCATGTAAAGTCATCATCGACATGTGAAGTAAGTAATACACATGTGGTACCGACCCATCTTCAAGTTTGTTAACTTTGGCAATGAATTTAATTACTTTAATATATCACTAAACTAGAAGTGTTAGTCTTTTTGCGTTCGTAACTATGCATGTTTATTTGAGTATGATGTTCGATATAAGTTGTTTTTGGTGCATGATTAATTAAAAAGTTATTATTTTGAAATTAATGAATATACGAGGTGAATTGAAAAGTACTCGGACTAACCAAGAAAATAAACAAATACTAAATCAGTTATATTTTTATTTTTCTACATAATCACCATCAAGTTCAATACACTTTCGCCACCTCCCCTTCCAAGCATTTAGACCGTTGAAAAAAATGATTCTTCCTTAGAGTCAAAATATGCGTCTACAGCTGCTTTGACCTCGTCGTTTGTCGAAAATCTTTGACCTCCCAAGTGATTTTTTAGGTTAGAGAACAGAAAGAAGTCTGATGGTGCCAGATCAGGTGAATACGGCGGATGCGGTAACAGCTCAAAGCCACAGTTGTGAATTTCAGCCATTGACTGTACTGACGTGTGAACACGGGCGTTATCTTGATGAAACAGGACTTTTCTTCTGAGCATTCCTCGACGTTTTTCTTTTATTTCCTCTCGTAAACGACGTAGTAAGGTGCAGTAGTAATCAGAGTTTATATTCTGACCCCTTTCAAGATAATCAATCATAATCACACCTTTCGAGTCCCAGAATACTGAAGCCATCACCTTATTTGCGGACAAAATCGAATTAGCCTTTTTAGGGGGTGGTGAACCAGGTCTTCTCCACTGTTTTGATAGTTGTTTTGTTTCTGGTGTACAGTAATGAACCCATGTTTCGTCCATAGTAACAAAACGATTCAAAAAATCATCTGCATCGGCTTCAAATAACTCCAAACAGTCGCGTGAAATAGTCAATCGCGTCCTTTTTTGTTCAACTGAAAGCAGTCGCGGAACCCACCTCGCAGACACCTTGTGGAAACCCAACTCTTTGACAATGATGTTTTGAGTTCGTTCATAAGAGATGCCTATAATCTCGGCTATCTCTCTAATTTTTAATCTGCGGTCTCCCATTATTAAATCAAGTACTTTTTTAATATTTTCGTCAGTAGTTGACGTCGAAGGCCTTCCAGAGCGGGGTTCATCTTTCACACTCTCTCTACCACGCTTAAATTCTGCTATCCATTTTTTGACTGATGAATATGACAGAGCACAATCGCCTAATGTACTGACCATGTCATCATGGATGGCTTTTGATGATAGCCCCTTCTGATGGAGGTACTTAATGACGGCACGCTGCTCGATTTGCTCCATTCGCGGAAATTATGTCCGAATACTTTGTTAATAAATTTATAAAATCACAACTAATTATCGCACACGTTTCGAACTTCACACAATGAACTAGTCTGAACTAAACTAAATAATGTGGATAGATTTGATTTTTAGAATTGAATGGATCTGTGTTAGGCCGAGTACTTTTCAATCCACCCTCGTACTTAAATTACATCATAATTATTTTAAATTTGTCTTTGAACCTTTTATACCTAATCTATAATGTCAAGTAAAGTTTTGCATTGTAAATTTGTTTCACAAAAAATCACAATCAAATCATTTTACGTGGTAGAGCCATGCTGCAGCTATATTGTGGTTGCGGCACGAATGGGACGGCTCGACCGGGGTAGGACCACGCTCTTAGAGAATACAAATGTTAAATAGCAACTTAATGCTGCTGTGTTTCATATGGTGTGTGTAGTGCACCGGAGATCCTTTTTACTGGAAACGAGGCATTCCATTTCAGTCCTCATGGGTGACAACGCATTTGCATTTTGATTCTTAATTGAGGATAAATGTAAATGTCTATGGGCCACAGCATCCACTTGCCATTAAGTGGACTGTGTGCTCGTAAGTCACCCTTATTTGATAAAAAATATGTACTACACAATTTAAGGGTGCAAGGAAGGATTTAAAGATCCTTAAATTTCTCAACCTTACCAGCACGTGATGTATCGACGCACGAATCTCTGATGACCGAAAAATAACGAGAAAACTACCCAAATGGAACTGAATCTTATTCCCATAGACTAGTAATGTGGAACAGCATTACCAGTACCAGGGTATCGTACTCAGTGGTCTCCAACCTATCAAAGTCTTCCGCCGTGTATGATGGCGCTAGCTAGAGCATTTTAGCAAAGTCTTTTCTACAGCAGTAGACTTAAAAATAAGAAAAATAGGTAATCAAAAAATAATATGGAGGTGCTAGGAAGTCATCATTATGAAGAATAGTTTAAAATTAAAAATTTTGTACAGCCGACTTCAATATAAGTTATTAAGAATAACTCAAAAACTATTGGTCTGACCTTGGGTCTCATTTGGGACCACACGAGAAGTACCAGCTTTCAAATAAAAAAGAATCATCGAAATCGGTTCACCCTGTAAAAAGTTATGAGGTAACACACATAAAAAATACATCATACATACAGTCAAATTGAGTACGAGGTGAGTTCCTTTTTGGAAGTCGGCAGAAAAACAAGGAGGTAGAGCCGTGCTGCAGCTATATTTCTGGTATAGTTGTAACACGAATGGGTCGGCTCGACCGGGGAAGGACCACGCTCTCACAGAATACCAGCGTAAAATGGCAGCTTAACGCTGCTGTGTTTCGTATGGTGAGTGTAGAGAACCGGGGACCCTTTTTACTGGAAACGAGGCATTCCATCTTAGTCCTCACGGTTGACAACGCATCTGCATTTTGATTCATAATTGAGGATAAATTTAGATGTCTATGGGCCACAGCAACCACTTACCATCAGGTGGACTTTGTGCTCATTCGTCACCCTATCCTATTAAAAAAAGTTTTTTTACAAGAACGGTAGCTATGCTAGAGCATTTGGCCCATTCTCGTTTTTTGCAGCAAATGCTGTGAAATAAATTACTATCCCAGAAAGTGCATTCAAAAAATCAGATTCATGCTCTTACACGAGAAGAAGATCAAGACCCGTGAGAAAATAAAATTAAAACATGTTTAGTAGTGCAATTTATTTTTCATTTATTACGAAATATTACAATAACTTTTATCAATATTTAGTACTTATTTCCGCTTTTTGAATATACATAAACATTGCTATTTCAATTTTAATACTAATAAGCCTTAAGAATGGATTTAAATAATTAAAACGTATATAAGTTAAATGTAATTTAATATTTAAGGATTCATTTTTTTACGTAAATCACACCATCAGTTACACATGACATGACAGTACATAGTTTTTATTAATTTTTCGGTGTGGTATTACTTTTTTCTATATTTTCCGGTACAGTAGGATAACCAGGAGCAGTAGGATCATCTGGTATTAACTCAATCACCATATCATCTAAACAGTCCCCAAATGCATCGTCGATGACACCCAAAGTATCAAACTGAAACATAAATTTTTAATAAGAACCACTATGTACTTGTAGTTTCTTTAATCCATCACTTCATTTCGTCTCATAATTGAAACAACTGTAGGAAATTCCAGAAGATCTCATAACCACTGGGTATATTGCTTGACAATAATCTCCAAAAAGTGTTAACCTGAGAAACATCTAGTACTGTGATCTCTTATCCGCATGTCAAGCGTAGTGATTACGTTTTACTATTTTTGCTTGATTTGATTCTACGATATGATAAATATTAAGAAATGAACACACAATCTGCCTGAAGGTATTTGCAGGTCGTAGTCCGTCAGGCACTTACATCTATTCTTCATCAAGGATCAAAATATTCATGCATTTTCACCTCTGAGGTCTAAGATAGATTGCCTAGTTTTCAGTAAAAAGGGCTAGCTAACATATATATAATATAAAAAAGAATTAATGTTGCGTTATTAAGATTTAAGGTAATAATCGGAGACCAATTATTTTATCAATTTTTCGATGTTTGAAGAAACCCAAGTTTTTCGGTAAAAGACATAGCCTAGATCACTCAAGGTATTACAATTTATCTGTTCTTCAATATTAATTATAATATATTCGGCCATACCGAAATTTATCTCGGACAGACAGACAAATAGACAAAAATTTTAAAAATTATTATTAATGTCTTAATGACATGCTTAATAAAAGGCAATATTACAGACAAATACTCTCATTTTAGTTATGTGTATAGATAATATAATATAACAGAATAATAATGCAGGTATCATAAAAACAGACGAGCGATGACATTTATCTAAGTAAATTCTGTGGGAATTAACACGAATCTACTTCGTATGTATTTATTAACAAAACAATCAGGTCTCGCTGTTCAGTTAACTTTGTAAGTATACAATCAAACAGGGAACTTCGTGTTTAGCATTACGTCATACGCTTAGTCGGCAACCGACAAAATCAATCTACTGAAGTAATTTTCACACGCAAATGCTGTGTCCTATCTACTTTTAACCAATTTAAACAAACAGTGTGCAATAAAGACCCACTGTTCGGTTTTTAAATGAAATTGGAATAATTTTACTGAAGTTTGTATTTTTGCCACAATTAATTAAAAGAAAAAACAGAATACGTTTATGATTTAAAACTACAGACCAAGCGCTGTGTGAATAGTGATGACAGTAACGCGAATTATAATTATTAGCTTGATAATAAAAATTATAAAGGCAACTCTACATTGCTATTTAAAGAAATTCCATAAATGAAATTGAAAAACAGTTTTTAGGTTATGTTGAGAACACATTTTTAAATTCATTTCTATTTTTTAACTTATGAAAACAATCGAACATTTCAAGCGCTTGAGGTCGCGTCTGCCAGAGTCAAGGTTGGACGCACATTGTTTGTTCTATAAATCTCCCCGCATTAATGCTTTTCGCTCGAAAATTGCCGGTAAATGAGGTAATGTTATCGTACCTACAATTCTCTTGTCAGAGTAATATATTATATATTCCTATATCATATATATCGTATTATATTCCTTGCAATACACCCTACTACAAGATGGCCTTAACAAGAAGAAACCTATACGGTTGTGTCCACATGAAATATAGTATTTTTTTATTTAGATTTAATTTTAAAAAAGCTATGTGAATTATAAATTATATAAATTATATTGTAAATTATATAAATTATAATATTATGTAAATATTTATATATTGTACTAGCTGTTCCCTGCGACATCGCCCGCGTGGAGTTATTTTTCGCGGAACCCTAAAATAAAAGCAGCCCAAGTTACTCCTTATAACATCAGCTATCTGCCAGTGTGTATAAATATTAACAAATATTGACATTAATATTTATACGATACTAACGTCACTCAATTGTTTTGCCTTCCCGGAACTCCTCCACTAAGACTTAATCTTTATGGTATGGTATTAAAGTTCAAATTGACTTTTAAGTATTATTACGAATCTTTTGTATGAGAATATAGAAAAGTGTTGTTTTTAGACCTTTACAGGCAATTTTTTAAAATTTTCTCTCCGTAAGAACCATCTTCGTACTTCGAGGAATATTATAAAAAAAGAATTAGCAAAATCGGTTCAGCTGCTCTCGAGATTTGGGCTTAGCGACACATTCAGTGATTCATTTTTATATTATAGATGTATTAAAGTAGATTTGTGTGATATATGTATACAAATATACCATTTATTATATATTCTGGTTAATTCGAACTTCGTTACCTTTTTTTTTTCAAATTATTTCTTTAGTTTTTGCTGCACTACCTCCCATATGCTTATCTCTGCTTAGCCTAATGGTTGACTGGGAGAGAATGCCTAAGGCATTAAATACATGGCGTATTTAATGCCTTAGGCATTCTCTCCCATATACGATTTTATTTTTATTGATAAAAGTTTAAATAAATAAATAAATTGGCTACAGCAGCATTCCTTAAACAAAGTAGGCCACAGATGAATTATTAACTTCGCCTACGAAGATGGATATCCTTACGGCTTGTAATTATATTAACTTTCTACACACTTCACACCACCACATAGCATTACCTATATGCACTGCTGCTTGACAGCAGAAATAGGTAAAAAGTGGTACCTATCCAGAATGACCACCTAGAAAAATACCGCATGATGATGATAAGGGTGATATTTACGAAATCAAAATAAGACAATTTGTTTCGCTGACGTCACGAGGTAAAAATATAAAAATAACAAATGTAAAAATAATCTTACCAAAAAGCTCAAAAATGGTAGAACTGCGCTTCGTTCATATTCTATTTGCTCATTTGTATTTCTGAGTTGCGATAATATCGGTGAAAACTGGTCGTCCTCTTCCGAAGTAGAATTTTTCATATACAAATGAAGTTTCTGAGAAGCGGAGCTATGCGCTTCACTCGTACTATTGGTCGGTAAGCCATAGCACTAAAAGTCAAATTATATAGTGATTAGGGGTCTTTCAAGGTGTAGTGCAGTTTAAGTTTAATTGGTAAAATAATGGTATTAAAATAAGATTTTACGTCCAAATACAATCTGGGTCTCTTCAAGGCTTTTGCTACGCTAAGATAAGTGTGTTTTACCATCACTTACCACCACCAACAAGTGGGATTATGGTCAAGCACTTGCTTATTAAAAGTACAAAGTTGGTATTGTTGTGGAGTTTCTATTATTTAAAACGAATGCCATAGTAAAATGCTCAAACTCCTGACGGGAATGATACCATTTTATTTACAAAATAATCTACAATAGGGTGTGGTTAAACAAAAAACATCTAATCCAAACTCCAAAACGAATAATGTAATCCAAATAATCCTTTAGGGTCAACACTTTAATACATATAGTAAAACAAATCGAAGTAAGCCATTATCACTAAATATTAATTAAAACTTCGGTTGTCAATATCTCAAATGTAGCTTTTTGTTGAATGGATCCTTTAATAATATACATTGGAACTATATCCAATCAATTAAAGCACTAAATAAGTAAAATTTATAAATCCTTGGAAATATATGTAAAAACTTTTATTTGTTTTCTGTTATAAAACTAAAAAAAATTACTTACAAAACCTAGGAGAGAAAGAGATAATACCACAATGTACGAATTGAACATTTTAAAAACTTAAGATTTTTTCCAGAGACAACTAAACTTTTCATAATACATACATCAGTTTAAATACATACAAAACGTCACGGTTAAGTTTATTGATTGAGGTATGTCACGTTCAGAAAGCTAATTACGAAAATCGCAGATGGAATGTGAAATCACAATTACGGCTGTATTACGATTCCTTAGAAAATTACAAACCAAGAATTGTCTTTAATTACCGATCTTTGAATTAAAGAAAATGTTTCTTAGATGACTTTAGATGTTATTAATTAATAGACAATTATTGTTTTTTTTTTAAATCATAGGAGTGTATTAAAATAACTATAGTAGGTATGTTTTTTTAACAAACGAATACTGAGTATGTCTCTCGCACATTTCCGATATTGACAGAGTGAGATGGGACATTGTTAGGGATTGGACCAACGCCTTTGTTCTTGTATTAAATTGTAAAGGCTCGTTTATATTAAATATTTCTAAAATTTACTGTAGAGAAAATTAAATAATTTATAACTAATTAAAAATAATAAATAATTTCATAAATATATAACAATAAAACAATATTGGATATAGTAAAAATATATTATGCAGAACTTATAAATAAAATAATTATTATAAAATTCTTGTAATCTTAACTATCGTCATCACTTCCTTCTGATTAACTTTCTGCAGGCACGTGAATAATATACCGTTTTAACATATTTTCTACATTATTATCGACTTCGTACATTTTTGTTTCGATCTTGGTTATTACATGATTGACACAGGACGACCATTTTTGGCTATCCACTTTAGCTACTCCTTGTAACAAAAGTTCAAACTTTTATTTCACATAACTTTTTACTTTCTTCTCTTTCAAAAACCATCACTTTCGTATTACTTGCGTTCACTTTCATACCTTTTTCTTTTAATGACCAGTTCATTAACGTAACCATCATTTGCAACTCTGCTGTCGACGATGCAAATATGACTTGATCATCGGCGTACAAAAGGCATTTGACGGTTAACTCACCCATTCTCAACCCACATTCTTCAACTTTCAATGTTTGCAAACAACTGTCCATAAATAGGTTAAAGAGCCACGGAGAAGCTACATAGCCCTGTCTGACTCTTTTTTGAATGCCAAACCAGTTCGAGTAGACCCCGTTGATCTTGACACAAGCACTAGAGTCCCTATAAAGAGACTTTAATGCCTATATCAAACCAGCGCGTCAGTGTTTGCCATAACAGGTTCCTGTCCACTCTGTCATAAGCCATGTAAAAGACTTGATCCGTACACTATTCCCTTTCTAAATCCAGATTGCATATCCTAAATTTTTCCATCAGTTTCTTCCATAACTCTTTCAACTAACACCTTAGCATACAGTTTACCCACAATGCTAAGCAAGCTGATACCACGGAAGTTTTTACAGTCCTGCTGTGACCCCTTTCCCTTATTTATTGGGACTATAACGGCTTTGCGTCACTCTTCCGGTACCCGCTTCAGTTCCTAACATAAATTAAACGACGGTGACGGTGGTAGAGACAAGCAGCAGTTTTTGCTGTTGCACGTATGGGCCGGCTCGAGCCGGGTTGGTACCACGACCTCACAGAATACCGGCGTGAAGTAGAGGCTCTGCTTCTGCGTTTCGTCTGTTGAGTGCAGGTGGCCGGAGGCCCAATTCCCCCCCCCCCCCCCCATCAACATGGTGGTGGAATTACACAATAGACTACCCCAGGAGGGTACCAGTACCCCTGGAGAATCCCTAGCTGAGCATCCACGACCATGTTATTCCAATCCTGAGCGTGGGTGCTCAGGCTGCCCCGCGTATTCTGGGGGGGCTAAAATTCCGCTCAAAAACATAACTGCTCTGGGCAAACTGAGCAAAAATACCAAGGCGACCCCTGCCACGCTATCCGTGAATTTCTGCGACGTCAGGGGACTTCACTCTAACCTAATCGCCGTCCACTACCATCTCGAGACGGCGAAGCCGGCCTTGCTCTTTCTGACCGAGACGCAGGTTTCCTCTCCGGCAGATATTTCGTATCTCTCCTACCCGGGGTACAAATTGGAGCACTCCTTTGTGCCTCGGGCTGGAGTTTGCGTGTATGTCAGAGAGGACACCTGTTCTCGACGCCTCGGCAGTTTTGAAGGTTCGGACCTGTCCATCCTATGGCTACGCGTAGACAGCGACGACAATCCACGCGTCTACGGGTGCCTTTATAGGTCCCATAGCGGTAATGCCGAAACAGACCGACTCATCGACCACGTCCAAATGGCTACAGATTCCTTGCTACAACAGGTCCCATCCGCAGAGATCGTGATCCTTGGCGATTTTAACGCCCACCATGCCAAATGGCTCGGTTCACGTTTAACCGATCATGCGGAGAGATCTGTTTATGACTTTGCCTTGGCATATGGTCTGACACAACTGGTTACTTCGTCTACGCGGATTCCAGATGTGGAGGATCATACACCTTCCCTGTTGGACCTTCTGCTGACCTCTCATCCGGACAGATATCAGGTTTCCGTCGATGCCCCTCTCGGCTCGTCGGACCTTTGTCTGATCCGGAGTGTGGTGCTACTCACGCTCCCTTCGCGGTTGCGTTCTGCAGGTTGCCGCCGTGTTTGGCATTACAGGTCGGCGGATTGGGACGGAATGCGGTCTTTCTTTGCATCCTACCCATGGGGGCGGGTTTGCTTCTCGCCGGATGATCCCAGCGCTGTTGCTGACTCTGTCACTGATGTGGTGCTACAGGGAATGGAACTATTTATTCCATCATCTGTGGTACCCATCGGAGGCAGATCTCAGCCTTGGTTTGGTCGCTCCTGTAAGACTGCATTACGCAGTAAGCAGGAGTGTTATCAAGCCTGGGCTGCGGCTTTGGCGACTCGGGATGTAAACACCAGCACACTTAAAAAGAAGTATAATTTCGCCTCCAGGTCTCTCAAAAGAGTTATTGCCAAGGCAAAGTCAGTGCACATAGGCAGAATTGGCGAGAAACTAGTTCGCCTTCCTTCGGGAACCCGTGCAATCTGGTCTCTCGCCAACGCTGTCCAAGGAAATTTCTGTAAGCCATCACTACCATCTCTGCACAGGGAGGACGACTCACTGGCCCAAGACGCAAAAGACAAAGTTGACCTTTTAGGCTCCCTTTTTGCGTCCAACTCGACTCTTGATGACGGGGGGAAAACACCGCCGACCATCCCGCGGTGTGAGTGCTCCATGCCGGATGTGCTGTTCTCACAGCGCTCGGTTCGTAAAGCACTTCTCTCCCTGGACATCCAGAAGTCGAGTGGGCCTGACGGAATCCCCACAATTGTGCTGAGGACGTGTGCTCCGGAGTTGGCACCAGTCCTAACGCGTCTTTTCCGGTACTCCTACTCCCAAGGCGTAGTCCCGAATTCATGGCAGACAGCTTTTGTCCACCCGATCCCTAAAAATGGCGACCGCTCAGACCCGTCCAACTATAGGCCTATCGCGATCACCTCCTTGTTCTCCAAAATAATGGAATCCATTATTAACTGCCAGCTCATCCGGTACCTTGAGGATCACCAGCTGATTAGTGACCGCCAATACGGTTTTCGTCGGGGTCGATCAGCTGGTGATCTTCTGGTCTACCTGACCCATAGATGGGCGGAGGCAGTAGAGTCCAAGGGGGAGGCGTTGGCCGTTAGTTTGGACATTGCGAAGGCCTTTGATCGGGTTTGGCACAAAGCGCTTCTTTCGAAGCTCCCTTCCTATGGGCTTCCCGAGAAATTGTGCAATTGGATCACCAGCTTCCTTGCAGATCGGAGCATCAAGGTCGTTGTGGACGGTGCATGTTCTGACTACAAGCCTATTAACGCTGGTGTTCCACAAGGCTGTGTGCTATCACCAACGCTGTTTCTTCTGCATATCAATGATATGTTGCTAACTGGTAACATTCATTGCTATGCGGATGACAGCACTGGTGATGCTCTGTACACCGGCCGTGCCAATATTTCTCGGGAAAACGTCGCCGAGTACCGGAACAAACTTGTGTCTGAAGTCGAGTCTTTGCTGAACAAGGTCTCGGATTGGGGGCGACTAAATCTAATCCAGTTTAATCCTCAGAAGACACAAGTTTGCGCGTTTACCACTAAAAAGAACCCCTTTGTCGTATCTCCTCAGTTTCTTGACTCAGCCAGTATCGGTATCCTCTGAGTCGACATATCGAGTGACGTGCAGTTTCGTGGTCACTTGGAAGAGAAGGCCAAATTGGCCTCTAAAAAGCTTGGCGTGCTCAGCAGAGCGGGACAGTATTTCATGCCGGCACACCGCCTGCAACTTTACAAGGCGCAGGTTCGGCCTCACATGGAATACTGTTCCCATCTCTGGGCAGGGGCTCCCCAGTGCCAGCTCCTTCCACTTGACCGCATCCAGCGCAGAGCGGCTCGAAACGTCGACGACCGAGCCCTTTCCGATCGGCTCGATTCATTGGCACTGCGAAGAGATGTTGCATTCCTTTGCATTTTCTTTCGCATCTACCATGGGGAGTGCTCTGAGGAATTGTTCGGATTAATCCCAGCCGCCAAATTTCACGAACGCACATCGCGGCAGAACTGCCGATACCATCCACACCATCTGGATGATTGGCGGTCCACCACTGTGCGATTTAGTAGATGTTTTCTTCCTCGCACGACTTCCTTGTGGAATCGATTACCATCAGCGATTTTTCCGGACCGATACGACTTAGGGACCTTCAAGAATAGAGCGTACTCCTTTTTAAAAGGCCGGCGACGCATCTGCAATTCCCTCCCTGGTGTTGCAGTTGTTCATGGGCGGCGGTAGTCACTTACCATCAGCTGAGCCGCATGCTCGTTTGCCCCCTCTCCGATAAAAAAAAAACGAGGTATAGCAGGCCTGCAACCACACTCTCTCCAGCCCTTAGCATTTCGAGTGATACTCTATCATATCCGGCTGCCTTACCTGCTTTCATGCTTTTCGTTGCTTTCATTATTTCATATACACTTATCTCCCTATCTCTCTCCATTTCTCTCGGAA